CTCGAGAACGTGGATCTTTCCCTTACGTGCACAATTCCAACGTGCTTGTTCAGGAATGGATGCGAGGTCCTCGACGAACATGTTCTCTGCTGGATGAGGTACTGCAGGTTTTGGAGTTGTTTTTCCCGCGATACGTAATGGCACTGAGGATCTTGGCTTAGGAGCTGGTGCGGATGATTCCTTTTTCTTGGTATCTACAGAGGAGCCTGGTTGCTCCTTCTGCAAGGATTCTCGCTCTTCAGGTAACAGAAGGTCAATTCCGGGTTTCCCCGGAGGGATGGTCTCATCCTTCCTGAGCTTCGTCATGTTAACCTTGATGAGTCGAGTCCCAAGATCAAGTCCTACCATCGCTCCTTCAATGGAAATGACTTTTCCTTTTAGCCATATTCCTCCCTTGCTTCCATCGGAACGAATCTTGGATTTGTCTTCCTGCCAGTAAAATACCTTGTCCTTCACCTGAAGAGGCTTTGAACTCATTCGGAGATTTTGAGCAAGGTCTCGTCGGATGTCCTCGGATTGACGTGCTTCTTGGAAAGCTTGCTTTGACAGCTGCTTGATCTGGATGGCTGTCATCTCTTCTTCATTCCTGTCAATCGTCAACTGAGTTGGAGTTGCGACATCGAGTTGGATGAGATCTGCTGGTCGTCTTCCGAATGCGAGCTCCAATGGTGTTACTCCATCGTAGGTGACGGTCTGATTCCTGACAGTTGCAGCGGCCTTCACCAGTTGCCTATAGGTCAGTGTTGCAGGTGCAGTGCCTGCTTTGATGGAACTCAGCATGATCTTGAGTTGTGCCTTCAGGAGTCCATGGTGTATTTGGTCCCAAAGATATCGGAGTGATGTCAAGGGACTGATAGAAATGTTCCCATGTATCTGTCATGAAGGCTTGATCTGCGACAACTGATTTGGGCTGCAAGTGGTACTGGTCAAAATAGTTCCTGAGGACAGTGATGTTCTCGACTTCTTGCGTAGTTGTCACTGCCTCTGCAGTGAGCAATGTTGTTGCTCCATCCAGGATGACAAAAACAATGATGTGTTCTCCAGTTCCAAGAGGAACTTGACAGTGATCAATGAATGTCATGTCACCAAAGGTGTCCGCTCGAAGTCCGCTTGTCTTGCTTCGTGATGGTGCATGTTTCGCCACTTGGCAAACTTCACACTCACTTCGGATCTTGTCAAATAGATCGAATGTTGATTTCGGCAAATGAAGTGCTCGGGTTCTAAATCGAAATTGATCTGTGGTCATGTGATGATGCTGCAGGTGGAGTTTCTTCAACTCTTCTGGATTTGACAATCGCTTGTGGATTCTGCCTAGGGCAAGCGGAAGCGATGTTGGTTCTTCTGAGGATGGTGCGAAAGGATTTGGCTCAATGGTCGACTGGCCCCTCTTGTGGATGATCCTGTCTGCTGCCGATCCTGAACCTGCTTCTACGTCCTTCAGCGAATTGTCCGAGAAGGTGAAAATGGTCTTACCTATCCACAGGTTAGTCATCGGTTGATTTGCCTGGGATGTAAGTCTCCAATTGTCTTCCAAGATATCTGGATCTCCACCTGCGGATGCATCAATGATTTCCGTGGTACGTTCTCGGCTGATGTGGTCAGGATTGATGGGACATTCCTTGGCTCCATTTGGTGTGAACAGCGCCTGTCGGGGCGTGATGCGCACACGGATGAGCTGCTTGTTCTTCTTGTCAAGGATCCAATAGTCCTGCTTTTGAGACCCAATGATCTTAGGAGTTGCTAGGTCCTCCTTTGTCTCGGATGATTTTGCTGCACAAACAGTTTCGCTCCTGGTGAGATCCCCGGAGGGAAATTTGACGCTGTTATCATCGTCATAGACATAGTTGGTGAGGCCCTTGTGAGCAATTTCTCCATGTGCCTTCACTCTTGCAACTCCAGCGAGATCGACGAGTGCATGTCCTGTACCGGATACTGGAACTGCTTGACGGTTCATGCCAAAGGCCTTGCATGTGATCTTGTCACATTGAGGTGTGTGCTCGATGGTCATGTAGAGGTTCCGCATCTGGCTGATGCTGAGAAGGATCGGTACAGTTCCTTGTTCAAGGACGTCGATGTTTGTACTGCAAGGAGGAGTTGTGTGATATCGAAGATGCAGGGTCCAATTTACCCTGGCGGTCTCTCCGTTTGTAAAAGTGAACTTGGTCTCGGCCGGGATGTACTCGTAAGAGATGATGTCCTTCATTGGTTCGATTGCCTGGGTAAAACGCTGGATTGCATGCCAGCTGCCCATAGATCTGGTACATCCGTTGTCCAGCATCGCATAGGTCGGGTTGTGCTGAGGGTTGATGACAGGCGCCATCAGCTTTGTTGCCAAAAGGCTGTGATTTGTTGTGACGGACAGATTGTGTTCTGAAACTGCATCTGGTTGGATCAGCTTCTCGTGGATGGCCTTTGTCCCAGGATACTCATATGCATTGGGGAATGCCATTAACGCTTGTCCTGCGCTGGATGTCTCATGGGATGAGTACCAGCCATGTTCGTTCCATGTCCATGATTGATCCCAATCTTGGTCTGTCCAACCGGCATAGGTAGGCTCTATGGATGGTGCAGTCTGCTGGATGGCGGGCTGCTCCTCCGTCTTTTCTGCGGTGGCTGCGAACGTCTTGGATTTTCCTTTCTCCTGTCCGCTCTTTCCTTTGCCACTCTCATAGGATGGATAACCTTTGTTTCCATCATAGGGATATTGGAATTTTGATTTTCCTTTCTTTCCCTTCTTTCCATTGCCTTTTCCCCAATATGCCTGGTCGTAGGGATCATAGTTTTCGTTGGCCATATTGGCCTTTCCGCCAGAACCGCTTTTTCTGAAGGGTTTGAAGCCACCTCGTTGGGGACTGCCCTTCTTGTTTCCTGATTTTCCTTTTCCTTTTCTCTTCTTGAACTTGAAGTTCCGCCCCGACACTTTTCTTGCTATGAACGCATCGTTCTCCTCGAGGACCCAGAACGTCTCTTCATCGTTGTTTGACATGAATCCTTCAAGTCCTTCTTCATCCTCAACCCAGAAGCCTTCTTCTCCTTCGTATTCACCTTGTTCGATGATGAAGAATGTGTTGCTTCGGCTGCCTCCTTGAGGTCGGATGGATGGATCTTGGATCGATGTCCTCGTGGTGATGAAGAGTTCATGGTAATGCGTCTTCAGCATCTCATAGGAATAATTCTCGAGTGAGATGTTTCTCAATGACATTGCACTTGTGAGTCGCTCTCTTTGTTGATCTGACAACTCACTTTGAATGATGAAAAACTGTGCAATGAGATTATCCCCGAAGGGAAATGCGTCCCGCTGTCTGTCCTGCATTCCTTGGATATATTGTCTGAGGACTGTTGGATCGTCCTCATTGAGCAGGGCTGGAGGCGGTGCTCGAGCACCGGCTGCTTGCTGATGTCGAGTAATTGTTCTTGCATTTGCGTCCTGCACGGACTGTCGAAATGATGGAGACTGTGCCGTAAAGATTGGCATCAAGTCCATCCATGCTGCCTTCAATCTCATGAGAAGGATTTCGAATTTTGAGGTAAAAATGAGGAACTCTTGGTTCTGCCTTCTGTGGTTGAAGAAACTGAGGAGTTTGTACAGATACACGTTGGTCGCACCTTTCAAAAAGCACTTCTTCATCGTGTTCTTGAAATAGTTGACTCCTTCATCAGGATCTTGCAAAAGGTCATTTTGGAGGACGGCCTTATACATGTAAGCATCTCCAGTGAGTCTGCTCTTAAGCAATGGGCCTCGCTTGCCTGCTTCTACTGTGGTGATGGTCACCCAGTCGTCCACGAGTTCTTCATACCTGAACCAGCTGACTTTTCCGCGGCTGCTTGGCGGTCATCGATAAATTTAGTGTTTCCTCCGTATAGCTCGGCTTTGCCGAACTTGTATAGGCTTCCATGAAGCCTTCTCCATCTGATGACATCTTCCCTTGGATCTCTGCGGAAAACCCGCTCCGCTACCACAAATTGAGGCCCACTGCCCCAGGTGCCTATCCCCGGAGGGAACTGGAACCCTGTGGTAGTTGAGGTCGTTGTTGGTCCCTGGATCTATTCCGGAGAGAGTTCAATATGCCAGTAATGGATGATTGGAGGATGGATTGTCCCTGGTGGATTGTCTTATGGATAATCCTGTAAGCGGCCTGCAATGGCTCTTTTGTCCTCACGCTCGAATGGTCGTGATTATGCAAAAGGGGCCTTGAGCCAAATGTTGCGGGAGATCAATGGTCTGAAAAACAGAACACAGGGGGGGGGGAGGAGGGGTACAGGCAACACAAACTAATCTCAAATAGATTCCTCAAATCATGCACCAGTGCCACTGAGGCCAGTGGGCAAGGCTGCGCTTTTCAGTTTTTCTGTGTATTTTGTCTCGCCTGGGCTGTGCTGCATGTCTCTGTCAGAAGAGGCACAAGGTAGAGGCATACCCAGCCCAAAAACATCCGGAGTTGCTCCAGCCTCACATACACAAATCCACAGGAGTATTGTGGATACCCAGAATATTGCCAGGCGGGAAAAAGAGAAACCCTGTAATTCACTGCAAGCGTCCATGTTTGTGCTTGGATGTGGCTGGCTCAGCTGAATTACTTGGGAAATGAACAATAGCTGACCTCCTTTTTGGCTCACAAGGGGAAGCAGGGTACATCTACCATAAAAAGGGCGGGTTACGAACTACTGTGAAAACACCCGCGTGATCCAATCCTGCTCCTATCGCACATCGTCAAAAAGGAGGAGCCCCAAAATGGGTGCTTTCCCTTTGGCGTTCCCTCTTAAACAGCCCTAAAGTGGGTTTCTCAAAACAGACACGCCCATTTGTGGTGGTTCTGCTTGACTCGGCCTCTCTCGGCCTGACTTTTGGAGAAGGGATACCCTCAAAGACAAGACACCCAATTCTTTGGGCTGCCCCTTGAAAAAGAAAAAATAATTTGTTTAAAAAAAAATACAAAAAAAATAAAAAAGCTTTTGGCCCGGTCCCAGTCTCGGGGGATCCCGGCGACCGTCCGAGGTGCACAGGCCAAGTGCCCAAAGGCGATCGCCAGGTGCAAAGGCGTCTGCTGCAGCGGCGTGCACTGGCGCCGCGACACGTCGTAGCCTGATCTCCGAAAAGCTCGGGAGGCCGAAGGCTCCCGAAGGCTTCGGACCCTACCTTGAACAGCCATCTGTCTGGGCTTTTTATCTGATCCGGTTGAACTTTTCGTGGGTTAAATGGAACCCCTACTAAACCCTAAAAGCCGAAAGACCAAAGGGGATGGCTGGGAACTACCAAGCTCTGGGGGTCCCCGAAACAGGAGTTTGTGGCTTCCAATTAAGCGAAATCCACTTGAGCAAGGTGGATCTTAAGCGTCAAGCAAAAGACGACTTACTACGGTTGTGACGTTTGAAGGAACCCTTCTTAGGGGCCGTGCTTCCAAGAAAAACCCGAGGGAAAGCCACCGAGTCGTTTGCTGAAGACAACGGATATACTTTTGGATCTTTGGTGGCCTTGGAAGGTTCCTTTCTTTGATGAGATTCAAAGAGTGCAGCTTAGGGGTGGACTTACAAAATTATCGGGGGGTCGGAAAACAAAAAGCGAAAACCAAAGCCACCGGAAGACTGGGCTTGTTTTCATTTGCGGAGAATCACAAATTGTGCTGTAAGAAGGTGTGATTTACTGATGTGTGGTGGTTTCGCTAGGGGGCCGGAAAGTGCCTGCAAATGACACCATGTTAAAACATCAGCTCGTTTGGGACCCGCTGGCAGGGAGCGCCACGACGATTTGGATGCAGGGGGGGGATGGGGGGATTAAACGAGCTCACCTCGATTTTTACAGTTTCCTTGCCCCCGCAACAAGCGGACACTCAAGACAGGGTGACCACCCAAACCACCGGTCAAGGGGGGTTCCGATATTGCCCAGGTCCCGTTTGAGTCTCCACTCACACAATCGCTCCCTTCCCCTTTCCCGCTATCCCCCGAATCCCCAAATCCTTCCGCCGCTCAATGCTCATTTGCACTTTCCAGCAGGAATTCCGAGCTCCCCCAAACGAATCGAATCAAGCAAACTAGTTCGGATGTGTGAGGCAAGGTGTAGGCGGGGCAGGTCTGCTAAAACACCTTAAGCGCCCCTATCGGCTGAAGCCGGCTACGGCCAGGTCTGTGGACCAAAAAAGGAACTGTGAGGCACGCATCACTTTAGCCGCAGCACTGAAAAATAACGCGACCAAAACAAACGCGCCAAACCGCCGGCGCCAAGCCGCCGGCGCTAAACGCGAAACGGCGCGAAACCCGTTGGGTTTCTTTTTTAGGGCAAATAGATGGCCCTGGTAGATGATTAAACCACCACAGGTAAACCAGGAATTGCCATCTATTTTTCCACCAAAACAACCAAAAAGGACGCCTATGGCGAAACCGCGCAACCGCAAAAACGCGCGAAACCGCGCTTCGCCCCCGGCGCCTTCCTTGAGCCGCTCGTGCAGCTGTCGCAGGTCCCCGCGCTTGGCCGCCGCGTGCAGGTCCGAGGGCCGCGCCCCCGCGCGGGAGAAACTCATCACCGCCTGGGCGCCTCAGAAGTTCTCGGGGGGGGGGGGTGGTGTGTGGTGTGGGGGGGGGGGGTGGCTTTAGACTAAGGGTATCCTGCTTTCTGTAGTCTATTTTAGTAGGGGAACCCTCCCCCAAAAAAGAAACGGTAAAAAGGCACCTAGCTGGGGGAGGGGGGGAGGGGGGCGTTTGCGGGGGAGGAGGGGGGGCAGGTTGGCTTGTGTTTGTTTGTTTGTTTGTTTGTTTGGTTGGTTGGTTGGTTGGTTGGTTGGTAGGTTGTGCGAAAGTACACCATGCATTCCCACTTGGATGTAATTCATACTGATTACCATTGCATGGCTCAAGGCTCAAGATGACAAAGGTGCATTTGCTGCCTTGGTTGATTAGCAGAGATTAGTCTCTGATTTTCCCATGGTAGCGGAGCTCGAAGATTCAGGAGACCTTAGGGAAACCTGATTCTGAGAGCTGCCATGGCACTCGGACAAGATGAGGATTTTGCAGGAAAGCTAAGACTTCCCATGCCAGGGAAATTCACTGGCAAGCCAGAGGACTGGGAAGATTGGAGCTGGGATTTCAGGACATATTTGAGCATGTTCCTGCCAGATTCAACAACGATTATGGACCGCATTGAGGCCAACGCAGACACACCCATTGAGGACGCGCATTTGAATGTAGCGGGTAACCAGGATGCCACAGACAGAAGGATTCAGAATTCCCGAAGGCTGCATTATTTGTTAGCAAATTTGTGCAGTGATTCAGCAAGGCTGGTAGTCAGGCAGAACATTGGCTGCAATGGTTATGAAACCTGGAGGAGATTGTATTCCAAATTTGCATTGCCGGACGCAACACGGCACATGAGTTTACTTAGCCAGATTTTGGAATTCAAGTTTCACTCCAATACATTTGAACAAGATTTCAACACCTGGGAGACCATTAAGGCCAGATATGAATCTCAAACCGGCCAAGCCATTCCTGATAGCATTCTGGTGGCTACCCTCTTGAACAAGACAACAGGCCCATTGCAACAGCATTTGAGGCTCAATGCTTCGGCATTGTTGACCTATGAACAAACACGAAACGTGATTGTGCAGTACCACCATTCCAGGCACATTCTTAGGAACATGCCGGGGAATGACAACCAAGGACCAGCACCCATGGACATTGGGGCGCTGAAAGGATTCAAAGGAAAAGGCAAAGGCAAAGGATTCAAAGGATTCAAAGGAGCCAAAGGACCACATTGGTCATACAACAAAGGAGCATTCAGCAAAGGAAAAGGAAAAGGAAAGGATTTCAAAGGCAAAGGCAAAGGAAAGGACCCAAAAGGAAAAGGAAAGGATTCCAAAGGAAAAGGAAAAGGGTCGATTGCAACCTGCTGGATTTGCGGCTCTCGCGGCCACATTTCCAGAACATGTCCGCAGAGAGCTGTGAGCGGAGTGATTGAGGAAGATTGGAATGAAGAATGGTCCGAAGAGCCCTGGCCTGATTCGTCGTGGCCTGATGGCTCATGGGACATTGCTGGATTGAGTTGGGATGAAGGAGAAGATTGGTCCTGGGATTCGTCTTGGGGATCATGGGATTCTGTGAACTCTTGGGACCACCCTTGGGATTGGTTTCAGGACAGTCAGATTCCAGAGCCTCCTGCTGGATGCGATTCTGCCGCGTTTTCATCGGCAGGACCACCCCCAGCAGGAGATTCACAGCAAGGAACCATTGGAGCAGTGACACAGGTGCCGCCGGGATTGAGTCCAAACATTGGCTCAACTCCCATTCGGCCAAAGGCCAAGCCAAAGGCCTCATCATTTTTGATTGCTGCACTTGTCATGAATTCGGTCACCTCAGGATCATCCTTTCAGATTCCTGCCACTCGTGGCAGTCCGTCTGAGGGTGAAGGTGAAAGTTGGATGACATTTGGAGAGCATGAAAGATTGTTTAAGTCGATGTATTGCTTGGACACTGGATTGGATAGCATGCCATGTTTGAGTGCCGGATTGATTGCCCCTGTTCCCGGACAAGACTTGTTAGATTGGTATGATGAACCAACCCCAGTGAAGGATTCTTTTCATTTCGTGACCACCTTGAAGGACTGCGGCTTGGATCACTTGAATTCGAAGTTTGTTGACACATTCTTGCATGAACAGTTGATTTCAGCAGTCGAGGATTCCACCCCGTGGATTCTATTTGATTCAGGAGCATCTGCCCATTGCTGTCCGCCAGACTTTGGTGAACAATGGCCATTGCTTCCATTAAATGGAAATGGCCCACCATTGAAGAGTGTCACAGGACAGCCATTGAACATGTATGGGAGAAGATTGGTTGGCTTGAACTTGGATGGACAAGATTGCTTCATGAATTTTTATGTTTGTGACGTGCCTTATCCGATTGTGTCGGTTGCACGATTGCTGCTGCAGGGATTCCGCGTAGCATTGGATGGACCAGACTCATTGGGATTGTTTATGCCCAATGGTAAGGTAGTGAGTATTCACCGAAAAGGCTCACTGCTTTTCCTAGGTCCGAACATTCTTCCATTTGACAAACCCCGATTTGAAGAAGTGTGTCAAGAGTTTCATTCCAAGTTTGGTTCAGATTCTTCAGGGACCATAGCACCCACATTTAAGCCCACCATTTACCACAACGACAGTTGGGAACTTGATCCGCAACGCGCTGTGCTGATTCGACATCACAAGCGCGCAAGGCGTGCGTTATTCACGCCAGGTGGCACCAAGGACAGGCCCATTCCTGTGGAAGATGTGGCGTCCAGACGCACAACTTACGTCCGATTCGAAGATGGACGTGAGGAGACCATCGCCGACAATTGGCGGACGATAGATTCTCCGCAACGGGCGTTGGATCAGTACTGGATGGGAAGGACAGAATTCCCGTTGCAATCCTTGCCGACGGCAAGACGATTGACGGGGAAGCAATCCACAATTGCAAGACCTCCCATTCAGGAAGCGTCAGTGCCAGCAAAGAAACCTCATTTGAAAGCGCAACCGTCTGCTGACATTGGCCAGGATGATTATTCCCGGTCAGTGAAGGAGCTGACGACGGGAGAATTGGAAGAAGCGAAGGAAATTGTGGAACGGCGATTGTGCATGAGTGACCCGGAGACAGGAGGACCATTCGGACATGATGAATGGTACCTCACACCCAAGTTTGACATTAGGATACACCATGAGTGGAGGAATTGTCTGTATGTGCCAGATGAGACCGATTCGGCCGCTCCCTCCAAGGAATTGCTGGGGAACGAGAGGCACACATTGGCTGTGTTCCTCAACGGGAGACTCCAGTGGATTCACGACCACTGGGCTGACCCAGAGGCTGCTGCTACGGAATTTCCTGAGCCATTCAAAGGCGCGACGATTTTTCGTCGGCAGTCTCAGCAATTCTTGGAAGAGAGCAACCCGGACATTCCGGAAATGTCGGCTCAACGGCCAAAGGGATTGTACGTTCCCAAACAGCCGACGGACGATGAGATTCGTGAACATGAGTTGACTCATCTGCCATTCAGATCATGGTGTGAGATTTGCGTCAGGTCGAAGAGCAAGCAAAACCAGAGTCGTGCCATTTCGGTGCGGCAACCTGTGATTCAGGTGGATTACGCCTTTATGGGTGATTCACAAAGTGACACACAGGCGACATTGCTCACGGCCACTGATGTACTGAGTGGAATGGGATTGGCGTGCGTTGTTCCGTCCAAAGGACGCATTGTGTATGCGCAAGCAGAGTTGAGGAAATTCGTGTTGGAGATTGGAAGGACATTTGGGATTGTTCAGTGCGACCCTGAAGCTTCATTAAAAGCCTTGGTCGAGGCAGTCACGGGTGACATTGGTGGATTGTCATACCGTGAAGCTCCCACTGGCTGGAAGCAAGCTCAGGGATCCATTTCCAACATGCAAGCAACATTGTATGCTCAGATTCGTGCTTTGAAGCTTGACATTCAACATAGGTATGGCATGTCGGTTAGCGTGCATTCGCCATTGTTTCCTTGGATTGTTAAGCACTCCATGTGGCTTCTAAACAGGTTTCTTCATCGGTCTGATGGATTCACTCCATTTGAACGACGATGGGGAAAGAAGTATGGAGGTGCATTGTGTCGAATTGCCGAGTCTGTGCAGTTCCGATTGCCTGCGCCTAAGTCTGAGCCATCGTGGCATTCAGGCATTTGGCTTGGACGTGACACCACATCCGACCAGCATTTTGTGGCGGATTCCAATGCTGTGTACAAGGTGCGAGGCATTCGGAGACTTCAGCCGGGATCACAAGTCAAGCGAGATTTGATGCAAGGGTTGCGTGCATTGCCATGGGATCCAAAAGGATCCAAGGTCGAAACGGATTCGTTCATCCTTCCGGGTGATTCTGCTGTGCTCCAGAAAGGTGAACCCCAGCCACCTTTGGGGATTCCACCAACTGACGAGCAAACAGAGGAGCCAGATCACGATGGAACTGGTGAGGATTCGTCAGCCCAGTTGTCCCAAGGATTGACGCGAGGTCATGAGGACATTGACAGGGAACCTGGAGAGCATTCGGAGTCTCCAACCAATAGGCGCAGATTGGCAGAGGCAAGAGGCATTAAGAGAACCAGTGAGCAGGCAGAGATTCCTGAAGCGGATTCTACTGTAAGCTACATTTCTGCCATTCTGCCATGCGAGTTTGGTTGCACATTGGTTGAAGATTGTAGGATTGCCACAGTCACCACGCGTGAGTCATTGGACTTGCCCATTCATGTAAACCAGGATGAAGAAGAATTAGGGAACATGAAGAAATTTGCCAATCCGATTCTGTGGGGAGAGTCTGAATTCCCCAGAGATTTGGAAGAGGCAGGAATGAACAAGGAAATGAATTCCATGAAGGACTTTGATTCGTATGTAGAAGAGAAAACCGAGGATTTGACGCAGGAAGAAGTTGATTCAGCAATTTCAATGAAGTGGGTTAAGTCTTGGAAAGGAGCAGAAGTGAAGTGTAGATTGGTAGCCCGTGGCTTTGACCAATACATTGAAGATAAGGATGACACATTCGCTTCTACCCCAAGCTTGTCCACATTGAAGTTGTTGATTGCGTTGTCCATTGCCATGAATTTGGATGTTGTGATTGCAGACGTGTCCACCGCATTCTTGCATGCGACGTTGTGGCAGAAGATTTTTGTCATTCCTCCAAAGGAGTACTACCCTCAAGGGGGCGTACTTTGGCGATTGAAGAAGGCATTGTATGGCCTGAAAGGTTCGCCAAAGGCATGGCAACAGCATTTAGCCAAGACCATGCTTGACGCAGGATTTGAGCGTTTGAAGTCAGATCCGAATTTGTACCGACACAAGACCAAGAAATTGTGGGCATTGGTCTATGTCGATGATTTGATGTTTGTAGGTGAGCGACGTGACATTGATGAGGTGATGCAAGATTTGAAGAAGGTGCTTCTGATTCGGCAGACAGGTGAATTGAGTGAAGGTAAGACAGTCTCCTTCTTGGGACGTCAGATTCGCCGAACATCAGATTCCATGGAATTGTTCATGTCTCCTGATTACATTGACCGCATGCTGGATTCCTATGGCATGACCAAGAGCAAGCCGGCTCAGACGCCAGGAGGAGATTCATTGCGGAAGTTGCTTGACAACGAATTGTTGAATTCGCAAGAGCATAAATTGTATAGGAGATTGGTTGGACAATTGTTGTGGCTTGCAGCATTGCGTGTTGACATCATGTATGCTGTTAAGGAGTTGTCACGAGGATTGGTTGCTCCCACTGAGGTGCACAAGATTAAGTTGAAGACATTGTTGAGGTACCTGAGTGGAACCAAGGATTATGTCCATGTGATGAGACCTGATTTCCGGATTGGAAGACAGGTGAAATCATTGGACATAAAGGTCTATGTGGACAGCGATTGGGCAGGTTGCACCGATTCCAGGAGGTCCACATCAGGAGTAGCATTGAACATTCTCGGCATCAACATTTCAGCACACAGCAGAACACAGGCCACCATTGCCTTGTCAAGTGGGGAAGCCGAACTTTATGCTATTGGAAGTGGTGCGGCCGAGGCCCTATTCATTAAATCTTTGATTCTGGAAACCCTTGTGGCTCCCAAGGTGAACATCATTCTGTTTACCGATTCAACTGCAGGCAAGAGCATGGCTGTCAGATTTGGGGCATCCCGGAAAACCAAACATGTCCAATTGAGATTTCTGTTTGTCCAGGAGCTGGTTTCCTCTGGGACCCTGGTGATTAAGAAGATTCCGGGAACCCTCAACCCATCTGACATTTTAACCAAGTATGTTGCCAAGGCAATTTTGCAGAGGCATAACATCACATTAGGGATTTGCCCTTCAGGTAGTAGATAGTCAACATGATTCTGTTTCACTTAGTCAGTAGTCAAGACATTTTGCCACGAGTGAATTCGAAGCCATTTCATGCATGACTGCAACATTTGTTTTGCTCAACATTCTGACTGACATTTCGGTGTGCATTTACTTCGACCGATGCGATGGACAGCCCGCATTCCGGAATTTGACGCGACAGTATTTCCACCGGATTCTCGCAAGAGATTTGAAGATGGAGCGCACGAATTTTTCGGAATACAAGGCATTCATTACGGCCACGATGTTGTGGCAGATTCTATTCAGCGGCCAGCAACAGGAACAATTTGGGTTCCAGGATTTTATTTTCATGAACCGATTCGCGGACGATGCCTGGAGTGCGCAGATTCTGATCAGGATCATTCCAAACATTGCGGCTGGGAGTATGTCCTATACTCCATTTGAGAGGCATTTGTGGCTACAATTCCCACCAAGGGTGGAGAGATTGATTCCATTCAACCCCAATTGGAATTTGCAACATTTGAACTTTTGCATGTTGCCATTCATGCTGTATTTCACCATGCCTTCAGCAATGTGGAACCATTTGAAGAGGATTTTTGAGGGCCGTGCCAGTAACATTCCTGAGGCTATGAAGGGAACATTGGCAATTCTTGCTTCACATTGTTTCTGGAACAGTCAGTTTACTGGATTCCATTTGAGCCCGCGTTCGTCTTTGCTATTCTTTCTGTATTCATTCAGCTATGAGCGATCATTTGCACCAGAGGGTGATGCAAAGAACAGATTGATTCAGTATTTGGCGGACGCACCAGTGGTGATTGGATTCAGGCCACATTCGCAGCGATTTCTTGATTTCATGAGGCATTCATTTACTCACGTATTTGTGAGGTCTCACATTGACCCCATCATTCACTTCAAGGATTACATTTGGGATTCAAGAGACAGCTTGGCGATGCAGGAGATTTGCTCCATGGCCGGATTCAATATCAAGGCCCAGATTGGGGAATTGATGCTCGCTGCCAATTCATTGCAGCAAAGCAATTCCCATTGGTACCGGGATTACCACATGTTCATTCCCAAGACCTGGAAGACTTCATTGGACAAATTCATGGGCGACTACCAGGAGATTCCCAAGTCACTGGTAGATTCATATTACAGAGCGAAGCTGTGATTCAGCATTGGTGGAGCTGGGATTTCGATTCTGGCCAGGCACCGATTTGGATGCATTTATTCCACACTGGATTTGCATTGAGATTCTATGTTCATTGGATATCGCGATTTTGCCTGGTTCGATTTGCCACTTCATTTGTGATTCAGTTTTCGGCATTTGTGTGGAGGTACAGTTACAACATTACTGTAGATGACAGTTTACTTTTGGTTTGGATTCATCTATGACACCAATACATTGAGAGGACGTTTTCTGGTGATTCTGGAGGCGATACTCTTGGAACACATTCTGTCTGTGATTCGAGTCCACAATACATTCAACCACTTGTCCTTGTGCATTTCCCAGCATTGCAATTCTTTTGGTGATGATTAGGTCACCCGTTTTGCATAGACATTTTGCAGAGAGAAAAGATTTCAAGGCAGCTTGGCATTCTTTGGAATGCATTTGTGCTAGTGGAGTGTGGATTAATTCCACATTTTCCATTAATCCAAGGGGGCGTGCGAAAGTACACCATGCATTCCCACTTGGATGTAATTCATACTGATTACCATTGCATGGCTCAAGGCTCAAGATGACAAAGGTGCATTTGCTGCCTTGGTTGATTAGCAGAGATTAGTCTCTGATTTTCCCAGGTTGGGGTGGGTGGGTGGGTGGGTGGGTGGGTGGGTGGGTGGGTGGGTGGGTGGGTGGGTGGGTGGGTGGGTGGGTGGGTGGGTGGGTGGGTGGGTGGGTGGGTGGGTGGGTGGGTGGGTGGGTGGGTGGGTGGGTGGGTGGGTGGGTGGGTGGGTGGGTGGGTGGGTGGGTGGGTGGGTTGGTTGGTTGGTTGGTTGGTTGGTTGGTTGGTTGGTTGGTTGGTTGGTTGGTTGGTTGGTTGGTTGGTTGGTTGGTTGGTTGGTTGGTTGGTTGGTTGGTTGGTTGGTTGGTTGGTTGGTTGGTTGGTTGGTTGGTTGGTTGGTTGGTTGGTTGGTTGGTTGGTTGGTTGGTTGGTTGGTTGGTTGGTTGGTTGGTTGGTTGGTTGGTTGGTTGGTTGGTTGGTTGGTTGTTTTTTGGGGGGGGGTGGGAGAGGGAGGACTCAGATCCCGAGTTGTTCCTCAGGTTGCTCAGCTGCACCTCACAAGTTCACGCTATGCCGTTGGCACAATTCCTCGTGGGAGGGGATGACCAACCCATCTGGCGGTGGCTCAAAATTAAACGATCGGAGGGGCAAGCCGCGGGTTTTGGTCCATGTGTCCACTTACCAGGGCAAGCCATTTTGGGATTCCGGTTTTGTGAGCCACAGCCATATGAGGATTGGAAAATTATATTCGCCTGCGTAAGTCTCCAAAAAGATCCGAGGGAACCAACCCAAGTCAATGGATGAGCGCAATAAGAAACACAAAAGCCCAAGACCCAGGCCAATGTGCCGACAGTGTCAAAAATTGCTTGCCTCCCGAAGAGGGTGAATTGCCGGTAGGCTTGACCAAACCAAGAATTCTGTTGAAGCAGCTTCGAGCACGCACCCTAAGGCATCCTATGGGGGGGCTCTTCTTTATTAACCCCTCAATAAGGCCTTATTAAGGGCGTATCCTTGCTTATATGTTAGGCTTATCTAGGGATAGCCGCCCCATGATTCAAAAAGCAAGTGAGGCCGCAAACAACGCTTAATTTCCGGAAGAGCATTCCGCTTAGCGGACGGCTAAGTCCTTTGACAAAGTGGGCCAAGAGACCGCATCGGGAGCTTCAGAAACCAGAAGGTGGCGCCTCGTCTTGAACCTTCTCGGGCTTAATTCCTGGAAGCGGAGGTCCCTTCGTTGCATGTGATGGCTGTTCGGGTCGGAGGTATCGGACACCTTCCAGGCAAAAAGCAGATCGAGGATGGATTAAAGATCAAATATAGATTGAAGTGGTCCACACCCAAACACGTGTGTGTGTGTGTGCATACATTACATGGATACAAAAATAAAGAATGTATTTATGTACAAATATATATATATATATGTATGGTACCACGTGTGTATATATACATATATGTGTATGTATATGTATATATATATATATTACACACACTGCCAAACCGAGCAGCAGCCCCAAACCGGTTCCTCGCTCGCTCGATCCCTTTCAAGGCGCCCCAGAAGGCGAGCATGCAGCAGCAGCCATTGGGCCCCCAGAAGGGCCAGGCCAGCACCAGCGTGCACATCAACAAGGCGGCGCCTCGGTTCGACAGGGTCGCCTTTGTTTTGGGAAACTCAGAAGCCGAAGCCCCAAAAATGCCGATGGGGTCGATTTGCCGCTCGCCCTAGCCGGACCATCAAAGTTCGGGTGGTTTCCTCAAAACCGTCCGGCGTCTTCCATGTTCTTTTTCGACCCCGGGAAGAAATCAGAAAATATGTGTCCAGTAGGCTTACAGTAAGCAATTGGAAGTTGTCGGGAGACTCCTATGAAAGTGGTGTTCAAGGTTGAGTTTTCAAGAGATGGAAAACCCCGTGGCTCTTTTTGTTGGCCCAAGTGAAGATTGACCATGGGTACAGGACTCTGAAACCCTTTGGTGGACATGATTTACCATGGGGATTCAGGAGTCCGCCAACTACACCAAGGCTCGGGCAAAGAAACCCCCCCACCTTGGATAGCTGGTTCCAAGGACCAACCAGATGGCACAACCGGCCTCTCGTGCGTTGGCTCGGGGGTGATTCTCAGCGAATGAGAATGACCCCGAGAAAAACCATCCCGTGGGTTCCTTGAAGGGAACCTTTGATTCCCAAATTTCCCAGGTCACTCCCTGAGCACCACCAAGCCAAAACATCTATCCAGCTGTACTTGCAAGCCAGGTTTGATGCTACACTTCTTTGAGATTGCTTTAAAAAAAGCAAGTTCGGTTCTTCCGAATTGCGCCACAAACAGCCAAAGGATGCGCCATAGAGTGGCCTTGCTTGGCCCTTTGAGGCGGCCAAGATGTTTGTGCCGTCTATTTGCTTAGGGCAAAAGACTTTTGTGTGCGTCGCTGGCTGATTCTTAAGGTAACCCTTCCAGGAAAATAGAATCACCTTACCCCCCAATTGGTGGTTTGGATTGGCTTGGAGTTGCTTTCAACAAGAACCAAGGGTTCAAATCCCCAAGCCAAATGGGGACCACCCAAAATATCCCAAGCACATGGCTCTCGCCGCGCGATTCTTCGGCCAAAGCGCGCTGACAGGCGATCCAAAGCGACAGGCGCCGCGCTGGCGTCACCAGTCCTGCAACACTGAATGGCGACCTGAACGCCCTGGATTTCCAAACATCAGAGTCATGTCATATAGACATGTATACATTTATATATGTATATATATATATATATGTATATATATATATATGTATATATATATGTATATGGATGGTCCCCCCCTGGAATACTCGGGTGTTGTTCAAACAATCCGGTTTATGCTGTAACAATGCATGTAACATGCACTTTCCAGCTTCTAAAAACGATGCTCTTAAAATGCTATCCTTTTGTAGACTTAAATTCTAACATCAGCACTTAATGCAGTCCAGGATGTGTGCTAGCACATCCTGGCTTGAGGATTGAAGATCGTCTTGTACAACTCTTTCTGGGTTTCTTCAAATTTGTACTTAGGGCAATCCAGGGTGTGCTAGCACGTGCTAGCACGTGCCAGCACATCTTGGATTGAAGATTGAAGATTCTCTGACAACTCTTTCTGGGATTCTTCAATCTTCAATCCAGGATGTGCTAGCACATGCTAGCACATATTAGTTTGTCCTAAGTATGGATTTCAAGATTTCCGCAAAAACTGGTCTGAGAATCTTCAACTTCAATTGTCAATCTTCAATCGAGGAGGTGCTAGCGTGCTAGCTCCTGGATTGCCCCAAGTACAGGTTTGAAGAATCCCAGAACAAATTGTCAGAGAATATTCAATCTTCAATCCAGGATGTGCTAGCAGATCCTGCATTGCCCAAGCATGGATTTGAAGAATCCAAAAAGAACGACAAGGAGCGGGCGTTCCAAGAGTCAAATTGTGGATGTGCACCGCCCGCATTTTGACAGGGGGGGGGGGGAAACGGATGGGCGATTCTCCAAAAACAAAATCTGGGAGATCTTCAATCTTCAATGCCGGTGGGAAAGCCTTAAAGAGTCTAGAAAAAAACTGCTAAGCTTTTTGGGGGCCAGGATTGGCGATGTTCTAAAACCATTTATGTGGATTCTTGAATAGTCGGCCGTCGGTCCAAAGCAACATGATCTGAGCGAATGCTGAAAACACCGCGTTTTACGGCACGTCAATCCAAGAATCAGGTCTATGTTTAAAACAACTTGTTGTTCTTGGCTGGCTCAGTTCTTGCTTGGTTAAAACCACATGAAGATATATAAAGGCAATAACCCGTATGAAATTGGGCTTGATTCCAGTTTTAACTAGCCATAACAATAGCTGTGTTGTGAAATGCACAAGAAACCCCTCGAAATCGGTTTGACTTGGATATCCTTCCTAAAATTGATGTTCTGTTATTTGCAATGATTCAATAGTATTAGACAAATGACACACAACTGACATAGCTGATTTGCAACTTTGACTTAAATACGTGTACATGCAATCATGTACAAAATGTTGAATTAAAATGTGAATTCGACTGCGCAAGGACATGAAGCACCTGAATTTCGATTTGGATGTCAGACGCAAGTAGGACAGGAAGCCCAAGTGGATGATTTGCTGAATTTACTTGTTAAAGAAAACTATTAAAATCACATAACAGAGCTGTTACAGGCACGATGAAGCTGCCAAAGCATACTTCGTGTACCACTCCTGTGCTGAATAGCGGTGCTGAATAGATGCACTTCACGCACATGAAGGTGACTGTTGAGCTGCTGAACTAGGAACTCCTTTTGAACGTTGATCCTAACTTCTGCTTGGTTGGACCCCAAGTCTGGCCAAAAACCTGAGTTCTGAAACCTGAGTATTTCAGGGGTAGCATATATATATATATATATAGCTGTGTGTATATACATACGTACACATGTTAAGAGTATTAAAGATATCTATGTATGTATTGTATATATATATATATTATACCTCTACAAATATGCATTTTTTCTATATGTATATGATATGTATTGCGCACATCTATATATCGAATGTGAATATGTTACCTTTGCTACGTCTTTACGTTCTTATGTACATACGTATATGTTCCAAGCTTGCCAGAACCCACCCACCCCCGGCCACCTTCAAATACCTCCATCCAGAACTTCAGACTATCAGCACGACGTCTGGGTCAATAATGAATGGCTCGCTTCCCTCGGTTGCCCAATAAAAAAAAAAAAAAGAACAGCCCGGAACACGCAGCCGCGCTGCTTTGACTTGGGCCACATGCTGAGGGCAACTCAACTGAGTTGTAGCAAGCCTATCTTGCCATAGGCTCAAATTTTGAGTAGCATTGGTGATATCTCCCGCCTTGCTGGTCGACATAGCGGCTCACGTCCACCATGTAGAGCGACAGACTGATGATCAGCGTCTGACACCCGGCCGAGCGGCTGCCGACCACTGCCCCCAGTGGAAACTTGGATAAAGCTTGGTTGCTGTTGACCCCCCTGCAAAAAACTTTTGGGGGGTTTAGTGGAACCCCCTTGATTTCCCAAAAAGTTAAAGTCTAAAGATCCAACCCAATAGCAGCCAAGAAATGGGGGGGGGCTGTCAAAAATATGGACGACCCTGGTCCGCCCGTCTGCCGCCTTTCAGAGGGCGATATCGAAAAGTGCTCAAAACCCCATGTGCCATTGGTGAAATCCCACCTTAGAGCAAGGGGCGCAAAAATGGGATCGGAGCTCTGACTATTTGCAGGAATTGCTGCCTGAGGCATAATGCAAGGAGTCAGAGTGAGTTTGACCCCCTGCCTTGCGGTGAAAGACCTTCTAAAAGCAGTTAAACTAATGTGCACGAAAGCGCTCGCAAGAGGTGCTGTCACATGCTCAGATGATCATGTCTAGAACCATGTGGGGGGGTGAGACTCAACGAATGTCTGAAGGAAGCCCTTTTGCCAGGATTCACTCCGCAAGCACTGGGCGAGCGAAATGAAAGCCCAGGATTCAGCTGAACCCTTAGCTGATTTGAGTTAGACGGCCGCAATCCGCTTTTATGAGGTCTTACATGATGTTTCTCCCAGGCACCCGCTTCAATGAATTCAGAAGCAGCTTCTTCCTGGGCAAAATAACAAATCAATCCACCGTGTGTTTCGACACAGCCTTCTTAGGGCACACCCAACATGGCCCGGGCGGCCTCTCTTGGGCTCCCCTCAAAACAGATTGAAAAAGCCACAATAGTGCCTAGCCCCGCATGGGTTCACACAGCTGAAACCCCTACTCCCCCGCCAAAAAAAAAAAGAGGACATGATGGGTGTTCCTTTTCGGCCTTCTTCTGGAAAGGGCGCCAACTCCCAACCCGCGGCTCACCCGAAGCCCCGCTCGCGCCCTTTGAAGCGGTCAACGGAACGGCCTTGGGGGAGCAGCCAGCGAGCACGCCCAGGGCCACCAAACCCACCAAGTAGTCCAGGAACCTGACGGGCACCAGAGAGGACGATGCTGGGCTCCGTTTTCAGACCCGCGAAAAAAGTTGTACTCATTGGGTTAAATTCGGACACCCAACCACTAAGCCAACTACAAAAAGCTAAAAAGCTAAAAAGCCAAGAAGCTAAGGGACCGGATGGCCGGGCTTGTCACCAAGTTTACACCTTTTTGGGGACGACCATTGGAGGAAAAGAAAAAGAAGGTGCTGAACAACTAATCCTGAGCTGAGGATCCTTATCAAAGCATCCCTACCAAGAACACAATTCACCCAAACATTGCATCGGCAACTCCTTGTTTGATGACCAAAACAAAAACCTTCCTTGACCTTCAAGCTCATCGATGCGGATGGGAGGACCATTCCCTTCGTTCTCCAAATGGCAATCGAACTCTTGGCTTGGCCATGGGAAGCGACCGGATAGAAGAACAGAATCTTGACGCCACTGTCTCTCAGGCTCTTCTCTGGTCCGTCTCACAACGCATGCATACCTGCATGTGTGCAAATTGGATAGGGAACAGAAAAATTACATCATACATGTATATTGTATATGTATATGCGTATGTGCGTTAGTGTGCCTACGTCAATTTCTCATATTAGTCCATGTGAATCCGAGTAAAGTTGATTGCACCATGCTAGAATACGAGCCATTTGGAGACAGAGAAACATGCATGGCTTCTTCAGCGCAATGTCCAGCGGCCTGGCGTCCAAGGCAACCTGGTGCCATACAGGGGAATCATCCTTCCAGGCTTTCTTAGGTGCAATTTTTTCCTTCATCCACAGCCATTGACGCCACCGGTCCCCGGCGCCGAGGTGCAGAACGGACGCGGCAGACCGGAAGCCGTAGAAGTAGCTCAGACTGCTGGCCTGAGTCAAGTGGCTTCCGCCTGGAAGTAAAGGGCCGCAACTCGACGGTCTACCGGACGCCCTTTGTGGATGTCTTGGAGAGGAAAAGACTTTTTTGGCCTTGGCTTAAAGCAGAACACTGCGGAAAACTGCCGACTTTGGAGGCTCTATTTTGAGATACTGTAAACCTGACTGCATGACAGAACCTGAACATCCAAAACCACGTTGGAGCAACGAAAGTTGAACTTTGAATCGGCAATTCCAATTTGGCAAAAGGAAAAGCGAAAAGGGCTCAGATTTGGGCCCGTCAGCGGCCGAGCTGATGCAGGTCCGAATTCTAGGCCGAAAGCCTCTCTTTGTAGGCATACTGAAAGTTGCAACAAGCGCTATCATCGCTTTTAAGCGGCAAAAAAGATGTAGCTTAGAACGCCTTATAGGCAAGTATGATAGGCTGATAGGCTGTCAGGCCCTGTTCAACCAAATCCGATGCCCCCTTTCGTTCAAACCACTTGACAAAATGCCGAAAGGGAGCTGGGAAGTGGGTAGAGAGGCAAGGCGGGCAGTTCGGGAGGTATGCTTCAAGAATTAACCAGGCACCCAACAAAAAGCTTCTCCCCAAATGGCTGTGGGTCAAAAATAGGTACCCAAAATGGCACCCTGGCAAATGAAAACAATGACTAAAACCTGTGGTCCAATTCCTGGTGGCTTCATTTTGACCCATACCCAGATCAGCTTCGATTGCAAGTGGCGAAAGCCGCTGAGAGGTGCCGAACTGAGCTTCGGGCCAACAGGACCAGCACCTGCGCGCGCAGCAGCAGCTCCAGCAGCCGCAGCAGGCAATGCCGGCCTCGCAGGCGCTTCGCAAGTTGCGGCTTTCTTCGCGTCCGGGTGAATGAATGAGTCTATGGCTGAAAATCTTGGAATTTGGGTTGGCCTGGTGCAGGTTTGGCGGGGGGCTCACTTCATGACCTCATGGGTTTCATACTGAAACCTGGCATCAGGATCCAAGCCCCTCACAAATTGAAGGACCCACAAGCCGCAAAAATGATTGGCAGAAACACGCATTGTTCCAACAAGGTAGTCTAACAAACACTACCCTGGAATGATGTGGGCGAAGTTCTTCTGGCATCTTCTGACTGCATCTTGTCCCCATCATCACTGTCATCATATTTACAGCAGCTAGTAACCAACATACATATCATCCCAATCCAACAACAGCGGATGAGGCAGATAGGTCTCAATTCTGGTTGGGGGTCATTTCTCTTCAGTCCAGAAGCACAGATCGTTCCAAGAACAGCAACTGGATGCGGCGATCAGTTGTCACCTTGGTGTCTTGAAACAGGGGGGCACATGGGTGTCTTTGCAGGTTGGACCCCCCAAAATGGATTTCGGCTGTCCTTTTTGTTTCCCCTTGCACACCACAAAAACGGCGCACCCCTGCAAAAAGACAGCCCCATCTGGCACGACGGCAATGCTTCAAACTTTCGTGGCTATTGCCACCTCAAGTTGAACTGAACACGGGTTTAAGATCCTACAAAGTAGCACTCAAGAAACAAGGATGACGCAACATTCTAAACGACAAACTCAGTGGAAATCATCAACTGTATCACTCCATCCAATCATTCCTTGCACTTTCATGGAGCTGGTTGCAACTCAAAATTCAGCTCGAGTAGAAAAAAAATATCCGGTCTCATCACGGGCCAAGACATGCCCTGAGTTGAATGACTCCAAAAACGCAACGTTTGCCTTGCAGCAAATATCAAGGTTTTGGCCTTTGCTCACCGAACTGCAGGACGGGGGAATGGGCTGATTGAGTCGCATCCAGAAAAGGGCCACTGCACCTAGGGTTCACTTCAGGCGGTGCAAGACTTCCAAACCTTTCCACACCCCGGCCTCCTACTTGACGCCGAGTTTGGGCTCAACCGCAGGAATGCAGGAACCGCTGCTCCCATCTTTGCTGCTTGGGGATGCTTTTTTGGTCCGCATTTTTGTTCAGATCTCGTCTTTGCGCATCCTGGAATGCACGCTGAGCAAAAACCTCTCCCGGCCTTTGAAGAACTTCTTTCCGTGCAGGTTGTTGTACTCCCTGCCAGGCACAAAATCCTTCAACCCCCCCCCCCCCCCGAGCCATGGAAAGAAAGAACAAAGGGCAAAGGGGAATGGTGCGGGCAGCACAAATGCCTCGGTCGGTTCCAGTGCTGGGAATCCAAAGGAAAGCCATGGCCCACCCAAAACCATACCTTGGTAATGGTGTCAGTTGCTCATACTCCCACAGAGGCTCTTAGAATTTACACATGAGCATTCTGCTGACTCAATCTTGGTCTAGCGAAAAATGGGTATTCTTGATTGGCTATATGGTGTCCGCGGATTTTAGAGCACCACCCATCGCGGCCTGCGGATGAAAGCGGAGACTTTGAAGTCAAAGAGCACCATCCTCGCTCGCATGCAAAGCAACGATCTCCTTGGATTGAACCCAACACCTACCTGCAATGAACGGAAGGAACCCAAGGGGGGCGTTCATCTGGTCACTTCCTCTTCCATGGATCCGACTGCCAGAAAACGGAATCCAAAAAACCGAGTGGACGGCGAAATAATGGACGAAGTCCCAAAAGGGCATGCTTCGACAAGAGGGAGATCGATCGCAAGTTTCCCTTGTTGTTTTTTGTGTTTGTTGTGCTTGTGTGTTTTGTTGTTGTTGCTTTTGGGGGGGAGAGGGGGCATTCCTCTCTCCAGAAAACCGGATCCCAAAAACCCTCGGGGAATGACTGGCTTCTAAAAAGAACGATGGTTGGCAAGAATGGGTAATCAACGACGTAAGTTTCCATATCTGCCAGTTTCGGGAAATCCTGCAAAATAGAATGGAGAAAAGGTGACGTCAAGTTCTGATGTATCCCAAGGACCATACAAAAATTGGAGAAGCTGCCCCTAAATTCAATTACTCCCCCACTCAAAGTGGAACCACCCCGGATGATTCGTGTCCTCTGGACGAATCCGAAGTTGACACTAGAGCCCTCCTGAGACAAGTGCAACTGTTCCGAAAAAACTTGACCCCATCCCTGCCGAACAAATCGCCAACACCAATTTCTGCTTTTGCGTTTCGCCCCTTATGGCCTTCTTTGGATCACCCCGTATGGCTGGCAAATTATTATTATTGGTATTATTATTACTATTATCTAAAAAAAACAGAGGGGAAAACAAACAAATACCAACAAACAATTCGGTCGGCTTTCTTTGGCTTTCGACTCCGAGGGCTCGGCGCTTGCAGCATGTTGCTCACGTTGAAGGCAAGCGCTATGAGGAACATCCAGGAGCTGCGATCCCAGAGCCTCCGAAGCAGGGAACGAGAACGACCAAAGCCGAAGCCGGACATGGCACGGGGCTGGACACGAAGGGGCTGGTCCCACAGGTTCCGGGCGTGGGAAAAATGGGGGGGGAAACGGTGCGAGAAGCACCGGGAAAATGGGCAGGATCGAGCTTCACAGGATCGCGGACTTGATCTTACGTGCGAGTGGGGAGCAAGGAAACCCCGTAACCACACTGTGCAGTTGGTGCAGCCTCTTTTTTTTGGGGGGGGGCCCTAGGCAGAAACTATTCACATGTGAGGTTTCCTAAGCCATTACAGTCCGCCGACATTGCGGCGTGCAGGATACTTAAGAGAGGATCGCCTTACCCCCCCTCCCACCCAACGTCACGTAGGGTTTTGGGGCCCCCACGTACCGCACGGCAATCTGATGACGTTCCACTAAAAATGTCGCAAAACGGCAATAACGGGAAATGCAAGGACATGCAGGGGACAGGAAGTCGACATGATAGGAAAGCAAAGGAAAATGTCAGGGACACGAAGGGCAACTGAAAGGGACATGAAGGGGAAAGAAATGAGAACAGGGGGAGTGAGGGGGGACTGCAAGGCAAACAAAGGACAAGGAAACCAAAGGACACGAAGGGAGATGTAGGGAAATGACTGGCAATGAACGAAAGGGACATACACGGAAAATGAAGCGGACATACCGAGAAAATGACAGGGACATGAAGGGGGAATTGAAAGGAATGGAAGGGCACATGACGAGGACATCCTGGGAAATGACGAGACATGAAAAGGACATGAAGTGGAAATCAAAGACAAAGCCAGTAGTACGAAGACAACTCAGTGGTCATGAAGGGGCAGTGCACGGAAATCGAGGCAACTCAGGAGGGGCATGACGCTGCAATGCAAACAGAGAGAGAGAGAGAGAGAGAGAGAGAGAGAGAGAGAGAGAGAGAGAGAGAGAGAGAGAGAGAAAAAAAGAGAGAGAAAGAGAGAGAAAGAGAGAGAAAGAGAGAGAAAGAGAGAGAAAGAGAGAGAAAGAGAGAGAAAGAGAGAGAAAGAGACAGAGAGAGGACAGAGAGAGGACAGAGAGAGGAAAGAGAGAGGAAAGAGAGAGGAAAGAGAGAGGAAAGAGAGAGGAAAGAGAGAGGAAAGAGAGAGGAAAGAGAGAGAGGAAAGAGAGAGGAAAGAGAGAGGACAGAGAGAGGAAAGAGAGACGAAAGAGAGAGGAAAGAGAGAGAGGCAGCGACGAGGGGGGGGAGCCAGAGACACGAGGTGGGGAGCGTGCGGCATAGCGAGGTAGAGAAGGATAGAGACATAGAGAGGAGAAAGACAAAAAGCGAGAGAAAGAGAGGGAGAAACAGAGAAAGACAGAGAGAGATGTCAAATATCATGCTGTACTACTTGTCCCTTGTACATGCATGATGTACACTACCCGACGGCAGGCCTTGAGTCTACAAGGAAAAGAGTGCATGCTGGGAAACTACATTTGTGTTTGTGACAGCAAGAACAACATTTGCACTTGTAGTAAAGTATCGACTTATTTTAACGTGGTAGCGGAGCTGAGATCCTAAGCATAGGGGAGCTCCAGTAACAGCAGTAAGTACTACAACTGCACAGGCAACCACATGCCCAACTACTACGACATGTCAGGAGAACCAGCAGCAGCATCAGCACAACCAACTACAGGAGCAGACAACGGGCCCACAGCAGAGGAGACAATAGGAGCCACAACTACGGGAACAACACAGGAGCAGGAAGACGTCCAAAGGCTACACAAATACAAACTGCCACCACCGTTCTTCACTGGTGACTACTCACAGTACGAAGAGTGGCTGTTCAAACTACAAGCATACCTCGGACTCATCGACCGAGACTTCGACATGGTACTACAACTAGCACAAGCAGCTACAAGACAAACTGAAGATGCAGACATCAGAGCCCACATACGCGACCCTACACAAGCAACAAAAGCAGTAGACCTCTCACGAGATCTACAGTACATCCTCATCAACATCTGCCAAGGTGCAGCAGCTACAGTGGTCAGACAAAACCGCTACAATGCCAATGGATGTGAAACACTACGGCTTTTGCACAACAGGTTCAGCCTACCAGTAGGAACACGCAGTGTTGGCTACCTCACCAAACTACTGGAACCTACATTCAATGAAGCACAACTTGAAGAACAATTCCTACAGTTGGAGTATGACATGAACCGCTACGAGGAAGACAACGGCACAGCACTACCAGATGGAGTGAAGATTGCAATACTACTCAACAAGACCAAAGGACCACTTCAACAACATCTCCAACTACGTGCTGGACAGATCACGAACTACAACGAGATCAGAGTTGTCATCCTGGCTACTACAAGACCATATCTGCATTCTCAAGAGCGAGCTCAGCGGTTGGCACAAACTACAATGGTGGAACAGCACCCATGGACGTGGACAACATTTGGAGGAAAGGAAGTAACTACAAAGGCAAAAGCAAATATGGAGGCAAAGGATCCTACAAAGGAAACAAAGGAAAAAGCAAGTACAGAAGCAAAGGCCACTACAAAGGATTTGACAAAGGTAACAAAGGAGGATACAACAAGAATGGCTACAACAAAGGAAAACGAAAAGGCTACGGATCCAAAGGCTACGGATCCAAAGGCTACGGATCAAGCCAAGGCTACAAAGGCCAAAGCAACTACGGCAAATCAAAAGCAAAAGGAAACAGCAACTACATGACATGCCACAGATGTGGCAAACCTGCCATTGGGCGCAGGATTGCAGAGTGCCGGTTTGGCACATCGGAGAAGGAGAAGAACTACAACATCGTGAGCAAGAACAAGAAACTCAGGACAACAATGAGGAACTACCTCAAGACATGCACGACACTTCGGATTGGTACTACGAAGGAGAAGAAGGACATGGACATGATGTGAACTACATGGAGGAGAGTTGGAACGACTACGACTGGAACGACAACAGCTGGGGCTGGAATGACTACAGTCATGAAGGTGAAGCAAACTACATCGGAGGCATCAACGAGTCGCACCTCACCATAGACAAGGAAGACCGCTACAATGTAAGCACAAACAATCACTACTTGGGAAAAGAGCAACTCATACAACATCATGGAATGACCACAGCACCAATTATCAACAGTACCTACAAGAGGACAGACCTCAACTACACCTCAACATTGCAGCAGCAACACAACAACAGAAACGAAACGAGGAAAACTTGACAACAACATCACTCACTACATTATGTACTCCAACTTCAAGTCCTACCACCACTTACTGATTGACTCAGGAGCGTTTACACATGTTTGCCCAAGGGACTACGCACCGGATCTTCCACTACGACCTTGTGGAGAATCAGTTCCACAACTCTACACTGTGACCAACAAGAAGATCCCCGTCTACGGCATCAAGTACGTTCCCTACGAGCAGGACAACCTCAGGATCATGATACCCTACTACGTCTGTGATGTGAAGTACCCCATCCTCAGTGCATCAAGACTACTTGATAGAGGATGTGGACTGGACTTCAACCCGAGACACTGCACTATCTCACATGGACAACAACAAGCACAGCTTATTCGACACTCAGGAATTTTTCTACCTACGAGCAGAAAAGATCAACATACATACAGGACACGACATCTACCCAATGACTACAGACAATGGAAAATCCATTGCTGTAATCCAGCCTACGCATGAGACAAAACAACAACAACGACAAGAACAAATTGCACCACTAACTCACACAGACCAAGGACTAAGACGAATCCTTGGTGGAAACACTGACTACTGGAAACTCGATGGTGACTACGCCATCCGAGTCCACAAACGACCACGCAAAGCACTGTTCACACCACACAACAACGGATGCCCAATACCAGAAGAACAACTAGATGATTGGCGACTAGCCATCATCAATAGACAAGGGCAAGAACAAGAGCAACTACAAGAGAACACCAAACAACTTTCCAAACAGGAACTACAAAGAAGACTTGAAGGTGATGACTGGGCTGGAGAAACCAGATTCCGAAGAAAAGTCACATCTACACATAGGCTGACTACAAAGACAACACCACCACGACAAAGCTCAGCACCACAACCTACAACAGAGACACCTACGACAAAACCAAAACTACAACTACGAACTCCACCAAAGGTATGGAGACCCAAAGCAGCTCCATCCATAGAATTGGACACTACGCAAGCAAAACCAACGATACATCGACCACCAACGGCACAAGAAGACAACCAAGACTACTGGGAAAGACAAGGTGAACACTGGATAAGACATCACGTCACACTACGAACCACATTGTTCACACCTACAGATGGACCAGGACACCCATCAATCAACACTCTCGAACCCTTCCGAACTACAATCTCAAACAACAGCTTCGGCGAAGTCTCACAACGCAAAGATGACTGGACAGTCACGGGCAATGCCGCACTACCATTCCAATGGAAAGGCACAACAAGGTTCACCATCAAGAAAGACTACGAATACCTCCAAGAGGACTACGACGAAGAGCAATACCACGAACATCACGAAGCACACAAAGCAAGAGGACTCCGACAACCTCAACAACCAACTCCACAACAAATAGCAGAGCACAACTTGACACACCTACCATACAGAAATTGGTGTCCAATTTGCGTGCAAGGCAAAGGACGCCAGGACAACTACAAGAAACAACAATCACGACAACCCATCATCCAAGTGGATTTTGCCTACATCAAATCACAACAAGATCCGAAGACCATACCAGTCTTAACAGCAGTTGATGTCACTACACAACTGTGCATGGCGGTATTGGTTCCGGACAAACCGTCAATGATGGACTACATGATCAACAACCTACAAGCATTCATCTTTGAATGCGGAAGAACACAAGGCATACTACAAAGCGACAACGAGGACACACTCAATGCACTACTAAAAGCAACAGCATCCAAAGTCGGCTCAATGACTGTACGACATTCACCATCCTACAGCAGCAACAGTCAAG